AAATAAATGATGATTATAAAGTCAAAATTTGTGCAATATAAACAAATGGAGCTTACAGAGAATGTTATAGTTTTAACTACTTATTATTGGCAAGTAGAACATTTTAAAAATAGAAACCTGAAGTTCCACCATAAGGAGCTACAAAAAGAGAAGAACAAAGTAAACCTAAAGAAACTAGAAGCGAAGAAATATTAAAGGTCAGAGAAGAAACAAAATAAAATAAAATACTGCTTGGCAATAAAAATAAACTACTGCCACACATGACAGCATGGATGAATGTCAAAATCCTTGTGCCAAGTGAAAAAAGCCAGGTAAAAAGAGTACACTGTTTAGATAATGGTTTCCGATTATATAAAGGTCTAGATCAGTGGCCGGAGTAGAAGGAGGGTAGACTGGGAAGAAGTATGATGAAACTTGGGGAGTGATGGAAATGTTCTGAATGCTCATTGTGATAACAGTTTCCTGGGAAAAAGCAAATGAGTGAGACTTTCAAATGAGTGAGACTACATCAAACTAAAAAGCTTCTGCACTTAGCATGATGTGATTTTTGTTGTATCCTGGACATGTGAAATATTATGGTATGTGACTCTAGATCTTACTTAAATCTCTATTTTTGCAGGCCTACACTGATATCAGAGAAGATGAGAAAAAAAGGAACCTTCTAGCACCTGAGAAGCTGGCGGCAGGGCACTGAACATCCCCCACAGCAGCAGCCTCGTCCACCACAGAAAGTTACCCAAGAGCAGTCAAAGGGGTCCTCCGCCTCACTTCTGCCCTCGATGCCATCTGCAAGCATGTGTGGAATGTAACCTGATTCAAATTCAACTACAACCGAGTGTGGAGAATGGGGTTTCCAGGCTCTTTGGTCAGAAAGGCAGCACTAGAAGGAGAAGGAACTTGATGGCAAGTGCCATTGAAGCATCCAGCGTAAGCATTTCCCAATTTTTGAATAAACTAGAAACCTTAAAATTTGAAAATGGCCATGCAGCCCTGAGCCCTTAATTTTGTATTAAAATTAAGAGAAACCAATGTTGTGCTTTTAATTTCTTTTGAAATTCTATTCGTTTTTTGTTAAATTCTTGAATATTGTCATCTGCCTCCCCCAATGCTAAATCTGACTGCTATGGACACTTTTGAGATCTCAGCCTATATTGTGCAGGCATGGGAACGTTTTTCAGGAAGGTTTTTAAAAACCAGCTTCTCTAAGGAGCACAAGAACCCAAAAGGTTGAGACACTGTGGGACGAGACGTGGAGTCCATTCATGACCACACTCAGCCCAAGTGGAGAGGAAATGGAGTCCCCGGGAGAGTGTGGCAGCTGTGAAGACAGAAATCCCCAAAGTGTCTCGTTCTGCTAAGGGCCCCAGCCCCCTCTGTCCCAAGTTTCCTTCTGGAATCCCTTTTAAACATTTTTAAGTTAAATGTATTGGGGTGACATTGGTTAAAGGGTCCCGTTTTTATTGACCCTTAACAGCTGAATTTGGCTTAGTCACCTGTGGAATTTGTTAACATACAGAATTCTACTCCCAACCTTAAAATTTTTAAGAGACAAACCAGTTTGACTAGAGACTTGAACTTTTACCATACTTAAGGGGTGAATCAGATTACAGCATCAAGTTTGGGAACCAAGGTGCTGAGAACTCTGTGCTTTTTTTGTTCCGATCCTGGCTTTCTTTCCTGGTGCTCCCTGCCCCATGCTGGTTGGGCCCCTGAGAACAGGACTCAGGGCAGGTGAGCACTTAGTCACTCCGTGACCCAAGGTGCATTGCTTCAGGCTCTCTGTCTGGAAAAACGAGCACTATCGCCTTCTACAAGGTATTGGGAAAGACTGACTCATGTCAAGAACTTTGAAATCTACAGATAAAAAGGCAATGCCGGTCCCCTCACGTAACTCTTGTCACAGGGGAAGTTCTCCTGTGAAGAAATCAGGGCCGCTGCTTTTGCAGACCATCTCTACGTGAAAAGGCCAGTCCCTTCACAGCCAACAATTATCATAAGTCATTGATTATCCCAGTTACCGTCCCCAGGCCATGCTGCAAAACCATGTGGCTGTATGAGGATCACATTGCAGAGTATTTCTTCATGAGATTGACTCCAAACGTTTCAACTTGGGATCTACCCCAGGTGTGGAATCTACTGGTTGAGTTTAATCCTATTGTCATAGTCCCGTGGACCTTAAACACTTTATTACATCTACTAGCAGTCAGCACTCCACAGGGTGAAGGGCGTGAATGACGTCTTTGCAAGGCGGCCAAATGTCGCCACAGGGCCAGTGGCTTTTATCCTGCGCTGCTGAATTTCCTATCTTTCAATATTTATCAGCTGGAATATTGTCAGTTTTATAAGTGAAAATGAAGTGACCATAAATCATGCTCTGGGTATGTAATCGTGGGGGACAAGGGGTGGTTCTGTCTGGAAGCTTGCCAGCCTGGTGTCTCCTTCATTCCAAGTGCAAGGCTGCAGGCTGTGACCCGCCCAGACCGCTGTGGCTGCTAGAGCCCACGGTTCGTTCTGCTGGGCCCTGCACCCTGGCAGACAGGGCGGAGCCAACTCTCCAGACTTAGAAGCTTGATTATTGCTTTATTTATAAGATATTTTCATATTTCTCTGTTCTTTCCACACTGTTCAGGGTCACGGTATAGTAGCAACTCCTGTCCCAGAGCTTGAAAACACCCACCCACCCACCCCTGCCCACCATGACAATCTATGGAACGATTTCTTTAAGACCCTGTTGTAAGCCTCATTTTACCAATGGGAAAAGTGAAAGGTCAGAGAGGGGAAGTAATTGCTGAATTCCCACAGCTGGTGAGCATCAGAGTCAAGATAATAAATTCAGTTCAGTGTGTTTTCAAACCTTAGATGCTTGCAGGGATAGGAGGACAGGACCTTCGTTGGACTTGGATGAAGATTCCTAGAAAATATCCCAAATGTCTGAACTTAAATCAACACCACTTTGTTTTGATCTCTTTTCCGAAGGGAGAGAATGTGGAGGGCAAAGAGGAGCTGGTTAAGAAAATGGCCCTTCCCTAGAGGTTCTTAAACTTAAGCACGTATCAAATCACCCGGACAAACGTTTGAGCACAGATCACTGGGCCCCGCTCATGGTCTTCTCAGGAGGCCTGGGCTGGAGCCCAACAAAGTGCATTTCCAATAAGCTCCCAGCTGATTCGCTGGCCCAGAGACCCACTTTGAGAACCACATGGCAGCCTGGGACACTGGTCTTGGCTGTGGAGTGATGTTGTTCAGAGTTGTCCCTCAGCAAAACCGGGTTTCAGCCTCTGCTCCTCTCACCCCAGCACCCCAGCCTTTCCCTTGTCCAGGCCCCTGCAGACTGTTCTCACTGGCCAGGTCCTGCCTTCAGACAGCTCCGTCACTTTCACCTCCGCCATCGTCTCTGCCTGGGGTCACTGATATAGAAGCAGGAGGGAGGGAACAATTCCTAACACAAGGGAGTAGGTTTGGAATGGTGGTATTTCAGGCATCAGCCTGATCTTTATCCAGGTGAGCTGGATTCTCCCACATCGCGTGAGTGGCCCTCATCACCATGTCCTCCACTCACACACAATGCCTTGATATTGGACGCTACTGTACAGATTCTCCCTAGGGCACAAGAATGTGTGCATACTTTCAAGAAGAAGATGCAAGCAGGCATATATATACATATACATACATGCATATATATATATATATATATATATATATATATATATATATATGCTTGCTTGCATCTTCTTCTTGAAAGTATGCACACATTCTTGTGCCCTAGGGAGAATCTGTATAGTAGCGTCCAATATATATATATGTATATGTATGTGTGTGTGTGTGTGTATATATATATATATATATGATGAACCAGAGGAAAGCTTCAGGTAGGTAGGGTGCTGTTGCAGCAGCTAAAAGCAATGACAAAGGAAAAGCTGGTTTACCCACTTCAATCACCTGCTTTCTACATCAGTACAAGCAGAGGCGGCTTTTTACCCTTGTTTTCTCTCCAATCAAGTCCTGTGTGTGTTTTCAAGTATCCTCCTTGGGAAGGGCCCTGGACTTCCCTCAATCTGTGCTCCCTTTCATCTACCCAGTCCCTTCACCACACCCACCTGTACTTCCAAGTGACCTTTCTCACGCAGCACAGCCTCCATTCCAGCCTGTGCTGGCAGCTGGTCACGTAGGCAGGAAAGTGCTGTGGTGAGCTCCTCCACCCCTGCTCCCTCCTGCGGGCGTGGAACCCTCCCCCCCTTCTTGCTCTTGCACCCTCCTGCGAGCCTTTGTGGAACAGAGGCCGGATTCCACTGAAGCATTTTGAGCGAGTACACGAAGGACTTCTTAGGTCTCATACAGGACAAACAGAAATACTGCGAATTTGCCCTCAGGACAGACCTCTCTGTGCAGTAACCCTCACTGACTGAGGTACATCATCTAAATGACCAAACACCCCTGCTTGGGCTGCACCAAACCCAAAGGCTATTTGCAACCTGTACTTAGCTCCTCCTTACTACTCAACCCCCATCCTTCCTCCCTGATCCATTCCTTTCTTTTACAGAATTCATGGAACATCACCATGTGCCCAACTTTCAGCTGGATTTTAAGAATAGACACTCCAATTGCTCCCCAAAAACCAATGTTCCCAGAGGCCTCATTCTCTGGCCTTGGCCTAAGATCCTGCACACAGGAGAAGGAGGGAGTGGCATTTTGCCCTCGGCTTGGGAGGAAGCTGTATACTAGAATGAGAGGAGCATTCCAGGTGTAGGGGCAAGTGGGCAAACATGGCCTAAATGTTTTATGCAAGAACACACAGAGAAGGACACACTCATAAGCTTGATGAATGCCCACATTTGTGGATATCGAGGTAAGAACAGCACCCACACAAGTCACTGTTTGAGCCACTTTAGCTTCCCCTACACTCTGTCTCTGAACAATATGAAACTTCATATACGTGGATCACAATTTATCCACTTCTGCCTCTGGCTTCTTTTGCTCCACGTGAACTTAATGAGATCCCGTCATAGTTTTGCAGATAGCTTTCTCTTCTTATCTCCGCCCACTTCAAAATGCTTGCATCTCTTGATGGCCAGCGTCCTCCCTGAACTGCAGTTAGGCTCTACACATCCAAGCCTCAGCACAGTCTTCTTTGTGGTTTTAGCTTTCTTTCGGAAAATCAGCTTTGTCTGCCCACTGTAGCCATTCTGCTTCCTATTGTAGTGCCTCTTCCCCCGGGCATATAGGGAATCCTTGACTTTCTTATACTGGGCCACTTTGTGAGGTTGATGTTTTCCACACTTCTTACAGAATGTCCTTCGGGTTTTAGGCACATAGACCATCTTGGCAGTAGAGCTGTCTGTATGATGGAAATGGAAAACTCGGTGTCCACACTCCCTCTACATCCAGCTATGAGGAATCAGGCCAGAAAATGAACCAAACCACTCCTATGAATAGTGCACCAGGGTTCAGATGCATGGTGGCAAACAATACCACTGGAGGCTGCTGTCCTGACCAGTCTGATTAGGCTGATGATGGAGCACAGTTGCTTCTTCCCCCTATGGGTGAGTGCATTTTCTCCCGGAGACACGGCCAGCTTTTATTCCTTCTTCCTCAGACCCAGTGGGAGGAGAACTGGAATCCCAGCCAAAGAGGGAAGAGGAGTAATTATTTCTCCCTTCAGAGTTCCATACCGCTGGCCACAGAGAAGGGGCAGCTATTGGCTAGTCAGACAGAGGTCTTCTCTGGCCAGGTCAGAGAGAGGCAGGCCACTGACACTCCCCACTTGGGCAAAGGCTTGGCTGATGTGGGCTGACCATTGATTTTAAAAGTCAGAAATGGGCCTGGCCAACATGGCTCAGTGGTTGAGCCTCAATCTATGAACCAGGAGGTTAGGGTAAGATTTCCAGTCAGGCACATGTCCAGGTTACAAGTTCAATTCCCAGTGTGGGGTGTACAGGAGACAGCTGATCAATGATTCTCATCTTTGATGTTTCTCTCTCTCTCTCTCTCTCTCTCTCTCTCTCTCTCTCTCTCTCTCTCTCTCTCTCTCTCTCTCTCTCTCTCCTGTCAGAAATCAATAAAAAAATATTTTTTTAAAACATAAAGAAACGGTTTAGTAGCTTAAACACAGTGGGGGTGTCTAGACATTCACAGACTGAGTCCTTGAAAACATTGCTTAAAGCCAGCCACCCATTTACACACATTTCAGACAAACACTGTGACCCCAAATCAGATGGTGCCATTTCAGTCAAGTGGCCAGCATTCTCTGAGGCCAACAGGTCTCACTGCTTCAGAAGACATTCTGGGGTCCAAGAGAAATCTCTCTACAAACTGATTTTTCACTGGAGTGTCCGGGCCTTGTTTAAAATGGGCCATTCTTCACTCTGGGACCCCAGCTCTTTGTACCTCACCCACTATTGGCCTCTCAGAGTCCTTTTAGAGCCTTGGGGATGGATGGTTGGTGAGTCTTCTAGTTTAGGGATGTCGAACTCAATAGAGAAGGGGCCAAAATCTAAAATCCAGCCTAAATCGCGGGCCGAATGGTTTACTGAACAGTCATAAACTGTCATTGTGATGGAAACGCAGCGGAGTGCAGTGATGACAGCGCGGTGCGGGCCACATTGCAAGGCCTGGCGGGACGGATTTGGCCCGCGGGCCTTGTGTTTGACACATGTGTTCTAGTTGAAGGAGGCAGAAACCTAATCAGCCTGCTTAAAAATAAAAGGGGGAAATGAGCCTACTAGATTACATTACTATGAAATCCAAGGAGTGGCACAGATATGGCTGAATCAAAGGATTCTGTTTCTTCTCTAACCTACAGACTAGGAGTGTTTCCCACCCCACCTGATGATGCTTCCTGAGGAGGTTTGAGAAATTCAACCGGGAAGGAAAGAACAATATGAGGCAGTGGTGTGGGAGCAGGTGAAATTGAGGGGAAGTTTTTACCTAGGATGGAAGAGCTGAGCCAATAGGGAGAAAGAGAATGAGGATGGAGAGCCAGCCATGCTCAGAGAAGCTGGCATGGTGAGCTCAGGAGGACAGAGTCCTGGTGGGAGCAGAGATTTCTGCCCTGACCCTGGAGGGGAGAAGGGACAGAGGATGTGGCTGTGAAGAGGACTGGGAAGATTGCCACCAGAAGAAATAAAGATATTACTTTCTAACAAAATTTTTAAAAAAATCAAACTTAGGACTTTATGTGAAGATGGACAATAGGATCATGATTAAAACAAACAAAAATAGCTAATCCACTGCTCCAAACATCTAACAATATTACAATATATAGGAAGGAAAAAAAGTAGCCTGGTTGGTGTGGCTCAGTGGTTGAGCATCGACCTATGTACCAGGAGGTCGCCAGTTCAATTCCTACACAGGGCACATGTCTGGGTTGTGGACTTGATTCCCAGTGGGACGTGTGCAAGAGCCAGCCAATCGTCAATGTTTCTATATCTCTCTCCCTTCTTCTAAAATCAATAAAAACAATTTTTAATTCTCTTAGAAAAAAGTAAGCAAGTCACAGTTGGGCTCAAAATCATCTCTTTTCATTAGAATTCCAAGTACCATGTGGAAATGGCGGTGGAAGTAGGGGAGAAGTGAATATAACAAACCACTGAAACTATTTAAGAATCCAGTCTCTTCCTTCCCCCAACCCTGACCATCCCCAGATTCTCTCCTCCTGAACTTGACCTCAAAAACAGTGAAGGAGAATGAAACTTCTGGGTTCCAGGTATGCAAGCAGAAGGTTCAGCACCTGGAAGTTCCAGTCCTGCAGAATAACAGACTTCAAATGTTATGCATCAGATGGAGGAGATGCAAAGCAAGTATCATTGTAAGGTACAGAACCCACTCTGCTGCCTGAACAGTTCACAAAGAACTGCAGACTTTGAAAAGAGATCTATAGACCCAGCCTGGTAGCCAGCAACTGAACCAAACAGCTCACTGCACCTACACAAAGATCTCTGTGTGGTCTGGTTCTGGGCACCACACTGGGCATGGGACTAACACCTTAAACCACAGTGGCTTAAAACAATACCAATAAACATTTTTTTTCTTCATGAATCTGTGACTTAGCATGGTTCAGAATGGATGTCTGGAGCAGCTGGAGCAGTTCAACTGGAGCTAAGGGACCCACTTCCAAAAAGATTCATGTACAAGCATGGCAAATGGTCCCTTGCTGTGGGTTCCTTTCTATGTGGTTTCTTGATAAACTGACTGATTTACTTGCAGCATAGTACTTGAGTTCTGAAAGCAAATATCTTATGGAATAAGAGTAAAATAGAAACAAAAACTCTTTTATAACAAATGAGTCTGAATAATACCAATCAAAATACATGAAGAGCCGGGACCGGTTTGGCTCAATGGTTAGAGCGTCGGGTTGGGGACCAAAGGGTCCCAGGTTCGATTCTGGTCAAGGGCATGTACCTTGGTTGCGGGCATAACTCTGGTAGGGGGTGTGCAAGAGGAAGCTGATCGATGACTCTTTCTCATTGATGTTTCTAACTATCTCTCTCCCTTCCTCTCTGTATAAAAATCAATAAAATATATTTTTAAAAAATACATGAAGAGATAGACTTTTCGAAGATGGCTGCTCGGGTAGACATCTAACCGCAGCAGCACACAACAATTTCAATGGAATACAACTAAAATGTAGAGTGGACATCGCCCAGAGCTACAGGTAGTTGACTGACTGAAAATTCTACAAGAAGGAAAGAGAAAACCAGAAAGAAAATCAGAGGAGCTGAAAAAAAGCCTAAGGTACGGAGACATGCTGCGCGCCCACACGCACGCACACAGAGGACGCAGCCGGAGAGGAGGAGAGGGCTGGGTGCTGCCTGGCGTTCCCTAGCAGGAAGGAAATAAAACCCCCAGCCTGGGCTGAACCCCCGAACCGGCAGCGTTGAGCCCCAGTTATGGGCCAGACCCTGGGGACCCAGGCTCCGGCAGGGGGAGACGGGGCTGTGAGGTGGAATCCCAAACGAGCAGCGAAAAGCAGGGCCTCCAGAGTCGCGCACACATTGCGCGCAGAAGACTGAATGTTGACTCTGATGCTGGATTACCCTAGCGGAGAAACAAAGCCTCTGGCGGCGCTGAGCCTCAGTCCGGACTGCTCTGAACCCCAGTTCTAGGCCAATCACTGGGGACCCAAGCTCAAGCAGAGGGATACGGGGCTGTGAGGTGGAGTCCTGGGAGAGCGGTGAAAGGCCGAGCGCTCGGAGTCGCGCACATTGCTGGCAAGGGAAAGAATGTTGACTCTGATGCGGGATTGCCCTGGAGGGAAGGAAACAGGAGCCCTGGCTGTGTTGGGCCCCAGTTTCAACTGCTCTGAACCCCAGTCCTAGGCCAGACCCTGGGGACCCAGGCTCAGGCAGGGCGGAGACGGGGCTGTGAGGTGGAATCCCAGGGGAGCGGCGAAAAGCGGAGCCCCCAGAGTTGCGCACACTGCGCGCAGACGCGCACAATGCATGCAGAAGACAGAATGTTGACTCTGATCCTAGACTCCCCTAGCGGGAAGGAGAAAAAAAGCTCCAGACTGGAGGAACGCGACAAGGAGCAAGAGCCCCTGCTGGACACGGGCCAGCCGGGCACCAGCAGGGAGCCGGGCCACGGGGCTCCCAGAAGGGGGGGGTGCCCCTGAGCCTTCGACTGCTGAGCGTGGGCAAGGGAGCCAAGGCTGGGGGCTGCTTCCTGGGCGGTGCCGACCCCGGCAACAGGCTGAAGCAGCGCAGGAGCCTGCAGAGAACAAAGGGGTGCCAGAGGCCAACCTGCTGAGCTCCCAGGACAAGGAGGAAGAAACCAAAGAAGTTCTCAATGTGAAGAAATCAAGTGAGAGCGAAAGATAGTAAAATTACTTAAGAAAGAATACAAAGAAGATCTTGAAAAATCAAAGACTAAGTCAGAACTCAACTCACCAGCCAACATTGCAACATAAATGCCTTTAAAAAAAAAAGGACAGAATGTTGGAACAGCAGCTACCAGGCCTAGAGTGGCCAGGAACAAGGCAGTGGCAGCTGGGCCCAGAGCAGCAACGGCTAGGCCCCACGGCAGCAGCAGCCAGAACCAGAGCATCAACAGTCAGCACTGGAGCAGCCAGACCTGGGGCAGTGGCAGCCAGGCCTGAGGCGAAGAAGGCCAAGCCCAGGGTGGCCAGTCCAGGAACACCCAGACCCAGAGTGGCCGGGCCCGGAGAAGCCGGGCCCGGAGCAGCTGGGTTGGGAGCAGCCAGGCCCAGAACAGCAGTAGCCAAGCCTGGAGCATCCAGGCAGGGAGCGGCCAGACTCAGAGCGGCCGGGCCCGGAGCAGCAGCTGCCAGGCTGGGAGCAGCCAGGCCCGGAGCAGCCGGGTCTGATGCAGCCAGGCCCAGAGCAGCAGCTGCCAGGCTGGGAGCGGCCAGGCCCAGAGCA